TTGTGTAACACTGATAGTTTTGGTGGAGGCCTAATGCCTGCTGATGCTGGCCTCTCCACCTGTGTGACTGTGCAGGGTACAGAACCCCCCATCTGATACTAGTCCTATGACCCTGCTTTCCACAAGAGGAAGACGACATTGGCCACAGAAGTCCCTTATCCTAGATATCACAGCAAGAGAAATGACCAAACTGCTTGGCTTCTAGCTTCTGAAGTGGTTAATGATTTCCTTCTGGTGGAAAAGCACCATAGCTGGTATGGGGAGCTGTACAGGGCAGTGTAGCCTCATGGCGATTTGCTGTTCTGGCCAGAAGGAAGCCTGTGGACTTCTGGCAAGAGGCACTTCACAAAGTAAGAGCCAGAGGGAAGGCCTGGTTCTCAGGGACTGCTCCCTCCTCGGCGGGAGGAGGGAGCATTTCTGCACCAGCCCAGAACAGCAGATCCACCTTGAATGTTTGGAAAGTTCTGCTTTCCCTTCTTCCACATTTCTGCACCAGCCCAGAACAGCAGATCCACCTTGAATGTTTGGAAAGTCACATTCAATCCCCGTATGATTTGGAATCAGGAAATTCAATCATTATAGTAAGAAAATGGAGGTGGGCAAGAGCTGCAGGGTAATGGAGGGTAGAGAATAGAAAAGATGGCTTACCCTGATTGGTTGCCTTCAATTGGTTGGCAGTGTTTGGAGTGAGAATAGGTTTCACATATGATGGCTCATTACCATTGATACTGTGGTGTGTTTTTTCTTTTATATACAAGGCTCAGCTCTCAGAATCACAAAATTAGCATGAATGAATTAAATCACAGATCCTCGAGACCATTAACTGTGCCAGTAATGCCCTTCCCAGGTCAGGGAACAATCAGAGTCACCCAGTGTGTTGGGTGGTCTTCATTCCCTGGTTCATTTGCTTTGTCCATTTGTTAATGAGGGAGGAAACTGAGCCTCTCCCACTGTGAAAATGGGTGTTTGTTTCTTTTTGTTGTCCCACTGATTTCTGCACTCTGTGTTTTAGTTTTGTTACTGGATGCATCTGTCTGTTGTGCCAGATTGCCAATGTGGTCTGTAAGCTCTTATGTCCAGGGACATGCATCTACTTAACTTCCTGTGATAGTTTTTTTTTTTTTTTCAACTTGAAGTACTTATGTCATCTGGGAAAAGAGAATCTTAGTTGAGGATTTGCCTCTATCACATTGGCCTGTAGGTAGGTCTGTGGGATATTTTCTTGGTTAACCTTGGGCAGGTGGTCCTGGATTCCTGAAGAAAGCAGGCTGAGCAAGCTGATGGGGGACGTCCTTCTGTGTATGTTTATTTTATTGGTTGTTGAATAAAGCACTGTTTGGCCAATGAGGCAGCAAGTTAGGAAGGACTAGGAGTTGAGGAAGATTCTGGGAAAGGTAGTAAAAAGAAGTCTTGTGATCCAGGCAGGAAGTGACATAGCACGCAGACTCAGAATATAAGCAGAGACAAAGAGGAAATCGCTCTCTTCCTTTTGCTCTTCCTCCTGCTCTTTTCTCTATGGACGCCATGTGATCCCAGAAGAGGATGCCAGCAGAAGGAGTCCTCTATAAGATAAGTATCATAAAATATATAGATTTATGATAATTAGGACTGAGCTAGCATATAAGAAATCCTAGTCAATTGGCCAGCAACATTGTAAACTAATATACGACTCTGTGTTATTCTGGGTGCCCACGTGGCTGTGGGTTTTGGGTGGATGGAGTAAAGACTTACCGTTACAACAAGCCATGAGAGAAAGCCAGTGAGCAGCACTCCTCTGTGGCCTCTGCTTCAGTTCTTGCCTCCAGGTTCCTGCTTGAGCTTCTGTCCTAGCATCCCTCGATGGTGAAAACTATAAAGCAAATAAGCCCTTTCCTTCCCTCATGTTGCTTTGGTCTTGGTGTTTGTCGCAGCAACAGAGAAACAAACTAGGATACTTGCCTCATGGTTAATTTGTTACAAGTTAAAGACCATTTTTCTTTAGTATTTTCTTGGCATATATTTTGGGATTTTGTAATACTTCTACCTCTGTAGTATTGGGATCACAACATACACCAGGGTCTCCCAATGTCTGTCTGTCTGGCATTTCCTCATGGCTGACTCCAGAGATGCGTTTTTAGCAGTGAGGCTGGGTCTTTCTTAGTGCAGCTTGTCTGGAAGCGTGTGTCAGTGGTGTATTCCACCATTGGGCATACTAATCATTTTATCACTTAAGATGGAGTCCGCAGACTTCTCTGTCCTGTAGCTGATAAACAGTGGTGAAGTTATTGATCAGCAGATGGTTAATCAATACCCCAGACAGAGAGAATCTGAGATTATAGCGGACACTTTATCAGCCATTAGAATCCCCCTCTAGAATTAGCATCTGCTGGTGAGTTTTGTCTGAGTAATTGTCACTGTGTTGGTTGCTGGTGACATTCTGTTCTCACCACTTGTCATTGTCCCTTTGCAAGTCATCTGCTGTTCTTCCTTTGTCTTTGGTGTACTGAAAACTGCATTATGAATTATTAATAGCCATTATACTGAAAAGGAGAACTTAGTATTTGCTAATGATCAAAGTTTAGCAATGAACTAGTTAATTATGAATGAATGACTAATTTAGGTAATGAATTCTATTTTCCTCAGTTATAATCCATTATTATTGTTGTTTTCTTTTGATGCTCAGCCATCTTGGAGCAGTGGGAGGCTCTGCAGATTTGTGCTTGTGCTATTTTTTTGTTAAGATCTATTTTATTTTTATTTATATGCATATATGTGCATGTGAGTGAAGATGTTCACAGAGGCCAGAAGAGGGTGTTAGATCCCATGGGTCTGGAGTTACAGGTGATTGTGAGCCCATTTGTGCTTTTAACCAACAAGCCATCTCTCTAGCCCCTTGTGTTAGTTTTTGATGTTCCTTCCATCCCTTGGGCAAGTGCTCCCATATTTTTTGGTATTGTATCTCAATTTTACCTTGTATTTTCTTTGCCCTGGATGTGGAATTAACCATTTGTTTGCTCCTTTCATGTATGGAATGAGAACACTAAAAATCTCATGCTGTCTTAGTGGATTTTTTTTTTGAGCTCATTTCTAGGTTATTTTTGAAGTTTGGCCAATAGCTACGTCTGCCTGCTGTGTGGTGCTGCTAATGTAATGTGTGGCCTCTTCTGTCCAGAGGCACTTTTATATTTAATTGACTAATGACTAGTTTATCCTTTACTAATTTAATAAAAGGGTCTGTTTTTATTTAATATCTTCTTGGCATACATTTTTCAAATTATTACTTTTAATCACCTTGTTTCCCTGTAATTTAGTGTGTCTATTATAAATAAGGATAGTTGAATTTGTTTTGTTTTGTTTTTTTAAGTCTGAGATGTCTAGAATCAGAATTTGGCAGGAGCTAAGCCGGTATTCCCATCTCCTTTAGGTCATGTAGGTATTGACATATTTGGGTTTATTCTCCCATCCAAGTACTAACCAGGCCTGACCCTGCTAAGCTTCTGAGATCAGATGAGATCAGGCTTGTTCGGGGCGGTATGGCCGTAGATTATTTGGGTTTATTCTACCAATTTTGTTTGAGCTTTCCGTTTCCCCGGGCTTCTGTTTTCCTCTTCTTCACCCCTTTCCTTGGGTTATTGTTTAGTAGTTTTTATATTTAAGCTCCATTCTCTTATAGCCAATTCTTTATCTTTTCTATGGCCCTTCGATCTGTGGTTTCTCTAAAAATGAACTATAATACGAAAACACACTATTTAAAATCTTAAGCACTCAAGGGCCCTGCATAGCTACAGTGAGTCTTGTCAAGTGATATATTGTGCACATTAGATTTATTTTAAGAAAAATTAGGCCTCTGAGAAATTACTGGGTGCTTCATATTGCTTCTTCCAGTTGTGTTTAGACTTGCCAGCATCTTTCATGTACTTGCTTCTTCATTCCACACCATCAGTGTGGAAAAGCACCCCTTTTCCTGAAGTACACGCGTGCTAGTCCTGCTAGTAAAGTTGGCTCTCATTTTCAATTGTCTGAAAATGACCCTGCTCTGCTCCTCTTCTTGAAAACTTTCTTTCTCTCCCAGGATATATCATTTCATTTGACTCCTACTTTCTCCCAGTTTATTGAAGTTATCATTCTATTGCCTCCTGGCTTTATTACTCTCTAAAAATCTGTCACTCCAATCTGTTGTCCCTTTGAAAGTCATCTGTCTTTATTTCATTGCTTTTGGTGTACTGGAAATTGCATGGCGATTTGTCATATTATGGCTTTCTTCTTATTTATCTTGGCTTGAAATTCATTCAGCAATTATGTCTCAAGTATTATAAACATTGTCTTGTTTTTCCCTGCAGAGTTGTCAATAGCCTCACATTTCATTTTCTCTATGTATGTATTTGTCCCCCTGTCACCTCCTCTTTTCTACTATGAGGTTTTCTTATGCTGGAAATTTCTTTCAAACTATCTTTTAACTCACTAATTTTTTCTTTAGCTGTGTTTAATTTTTAACTTGAATTATAGGTTTGTCTCTAGGAGTTTGGGTTTGTTTCTAAATTTTCTTTTCCCTTTACTAGTCACTCATCATCCAAAACCCAAAGCTATCTTCCTTCAACAAGAGCTATCTTCCTTCAACAGCTATGCATCTTTGTGTCAAAACCTTTGTTTCATATATTTTCTCATAGAATTCTCACTAACAAGTTTATGAAACGGATACTTCTATTAGCAGAAGTCATGATCATGATTGCATCATTGTCATCACCAGCACCATTTTTATCATCATTACCATCACCGTCATCATCACCATTGTCATCTTTATTGCTATTATCACTGCCACCATCATCATCACTGCCACCACCATTACTATCAACAATGCCACTGTCACCACCACCACAATACCATCATCATCACCACCACCGTCATTACCTTATTGATAAGGAAATTGAGCATCAGAAAGGATAAGTACTTTGCCCATAGTGAGAGCCCAAAAGCAAGAATTAGAACTCTGCTCATTTAACTCCAAGAAGGGGTCAACATCCTCAGTTCATATGTTGTTCTTTATTGGCCAGACTCTACTTTGCCAACCCCACGCTCCTTCCTCCTCATTCTCTGCTGCCTAAATTCCTACCCCCAATAGTTTGCTCTTTTGTGAAAAACTTTCCAACATTCGCCATGATGTGTCCTACCTAGGTGCTGTTGTGGGAAACAGGGCAGACAGGGCTGGAGGTTAAGTTCATGAAGACACACTGGATAGCTCTGGAATTCAGCGGAGATGGAGCACAGTCAATCAGCTTCCCCTCTAGAGCTTTGTAAGGGTGAAGAACGTGACCAGAGCTCTTCCTTGAAGCCACAGCTTCCTCCTGAGCAAGCAAAACCAGGTGCTGAGCAGTTTTCCTTTGGTCTCAGCCTTGGCTGAGAACTTAACATACAGTGGGTCTTGCCTTTAAGAGGTCATTTGTTTCAGATGAGATGTCCTTCCCAGAAAAGGTCATTTATATTATTTTCTAAAGTTAAACATAATAGTGAGACAGACATGATTAGTAAGATTATAAAAGAAACTAGAAGATAAAATAACAATGAAAGAAACCTGGGGACTATTTTGTCAACATGAATGGGAGACAGAAAGAAAGCATTTCAGAGGAGATTTCAAGCAAACCTTTGTAAGCATGTAGCATATTTCTAGTTTCAGCAGTGTGAGTAATTTGTTTATGGATATTGGAAAAACTGTCAGAGGAAAGACAATTTCAAAGAGTTAAATGCTGGGTCAGGGAGATAAAAGCTCAGTGGATAAAAGCACTTGCCACTCAAACCGATAAAATGCATTTAGATCCCTGAAAGCCATGTAAAATGTGGATGCAATGGTTTGTGACTGTAATGCCAAGCCTGCTGTGGCAAGTTGGCAGGTCCTAGGGTATGCACTGTGGCAGCGAACAAGAGACCCTGCTTCAAGCAAGGTGGAAGGCATGAGCCAATATTCCAGGTTATCCCTGACCTACACATACATGCTGTGGCATGAACACATCTATGCACACCAGACATACTAAATTTATTAATAAAATGTAAATGGTGTTATATTTAGTTTGAGATACCTAGTCTAGAAAATTAAAATGAATCAGTTTGCTTTGCCAAAATCAATTCTTTTCTCACTCATATTCTTTTCCAATTATATTCTGTATAAAATTAGAAAAAATACTAAAATGCATATAGAATTATGAGAGACTGTGAATAGCTAGAGTAATCCTAACCTCAAATTATACCACAGAACAATAGTAACAAAGACAGCACAAAAACAGACACATGGAACAGTGGACTAAGAAAGAAAAGTCAGGAATTAAAATTATACAGCTATAGCCACTTAATTTTTGAAAGGTGTCAAAAACATATTGTGAAAAAATAAAAAGCATCTTTAATAAACATTGCTAGGAAAACGGGGTTTCCTCATGCAAAAGAGTGAAACTAGATCTGCATCTCTCACTCTGCACAAAAACTAATTCAACGTGCATTGTTGAAACTGCCCCCCCCAAAGCACCGAGTAAAAACACCACTGGTATAGGGCTTAAAAAGCTCAGAAAGGGCTTAAAAAGCTTAGAAAACACCAAAAATTGACAAGGGCAATACAGAAAATGACCAAGTTTTTCTATAGCAAAGGGAACAATCACGAGCATGAAAAGACAAGCTGCAGAATGGGAGAAAATCTTTACCAAGCGCACACCAGACAGGGTTTAATAGTGGGTATTTCAAAAATACAACACCTAAGCCCCAGATCATCCCATGAACTCACAGGCCAGTGGACAGTTGGTTTTCAGGGAAGAAATACAAATGGCCAATGAATATTTGAGGAGGCGGTCCACATCCTTAGCCTTCTGGGAAATGCCAATGGCAGCTTCTCTGAGGTCCCATCCCACCCAGACTTGCTGCCATTGAGACGGGAAATGACAACAAATGCTGGTGAGGATATGGGAAAGGGGATCTTTATTCACTGGTGACAGGAATGCCAGTGGCCGCAGCTGGTATGAAAGTTGGTGTGGGCATCCTCAAAAATGAAAGTGGAACTATTGTATGATTCAGCGACACCACCCCTGAGTATGTGTCTTTAGGATGCTTGGTCACTGTAGGAGAGGCCTTGCACATGCGTGTTTATTACTGAACCATTCATCATAGCCAAGATATGAAATCCCTTGAGGCCTATCAGCAGATGAAGGGATAAAGAAACTGCTCATGCGTACAATGGGGTTTTATGCAGTCACAGAGAAGCATGAAATCACGGCATTTGTAGGAAGATGGATGCAACTAGGACTCATTATGTTAAATGAAGTAAGTCAGACTTGGAGAAAAAAAGATCACATGTTTTCTTTGTATACAGATTCCAGTTTTAAAATTAAGTGGTGTGTGTGTGTGTGTGTGTGTGTGTGTGTGTGTGATGAAAGGAGCTGGTGAGAAGGGAGATCTCTTAAAGGAGCAGAGAGGAAGAAAAATTCAGAAAGCATAATAGAATACATAGGATCTGAAAGCAGAAGGGGGTTTGCTCTTGGCAGTAGGAAGGGGAGAAGCAGAGGAGGGGATGCTGAGGGAGTGGGATGAAAGACAGAGTATAAGTGTGTGTGTGTGTGTGTGTGTGTGTGTGTGTGTGTGTGT